AAATTTTATATTGGGTTTGTTGGCATTCTCGCTCGATCGCCTCAAAAGTTTGGCTCCCGCTCCCTATTATTTTGTGAATATGACTTGTTGTTCCTGTCGATGGATTTGGGTTTTCCTTTTTTTGTTCGTTTTCGTTGAGCTATCGAATTTCGTTGAATATTATTGTGGTGTTGTTGTTTTTTGTTTTTAATTTTTGTTCATTAAATTTAATGTGTGTGTTGTTGTTTTTATATAAAAAAATGGATATTAAAAAAACTACGTGAATTTTTTATTGAAATGAAAGGAAAGCGAAAACAAATAATTATGATCCATATTTTTTAATCGAAAATCATCGAATTTGACACAGTGCTCAATTTATTTGATTATTTTGTTTTGTTTGTGAAATTAAATGAAGAAAAAAAAACACTAAAACAAAAATAAGCGGGACCGCGGGAGTAATTGAAAAAAATTGAAAGTAGATTTAAAAAAATATATAGCTTTGAATTATTAAAAAAAAAAATATATATATATTTTTTTTTTGATAGCTGCCATAAGGCGTTATCTATTAAAGATTTTTTAAAATTTTTTTTTTTTTTGGAATGAACCATAAGGCGTAGATTTTTTAAAAATTTCCCATAAGCCGAGCTGGGAAATATCGGCTGGTGAAATGATTACAACAGAGTCTTAGAACCAAACCCAAAACGCGGAACAAATCAGATAACTATTTTAATATAAACAAGTGAAAAAGCCTTAATTTCGGCCGCGCCGAACTTTGGATACCCTCCATCATAGATATACTGACAGGTACTTGAAATGAAAATATAGGGAAAATACCAAATAGTGGACCTATACCGACATTTCTACAAACCCATTTCGTAACCATAATACAAATTTCAGAAAATTTTATTGGATAATTATATTCTCAGCTTTTGGCTAATGAGGTTGTATACGATGAAAATGCACGTCATCGAAATATTGGTTCTAGACCTCATGTTTCTTTGGACCAAATCCGTTTCAGGAAATTTTAATTTCATCCAAATTTTGCCCATCTTATTATTTCTTCCAAAGTTAGTTCCAGTTCGAAGATGGGGAATATAGGTCCAGTCCATCTGGTACCTCCCACACAGGGACTAGGCCTAAATGCGGGTTATAGTTCATTGTCGAACCATTGTCGGCAGGTGATATGATTACAAGAGAGTCTTAGAACCAAACCTAAAAAGCGGAACAAATCAGATAACTATTTTAATATAAACAAGTGAAAAAGCCTTAATTTCGGCCGCGCCGAACTTTGGATACCCTCAATCATAGATATACAAATGAAAATATAGGGAAAATACCAAACATTGGACCTATACCGACATTTCTACAAACCTATTTTTTCTAATTTTTTATCTCGCTATCCTCCGCAGATGAAATGATTGCAACAGAGTCTTAGAACCAAACCCAAAACGCAGAACAAATCGGATAACTATTTTAATATAAAAAAAGGGGTTATATGGGAACTACGCCAAAAATGGGGCAATTTTCCCTACCAAAAATTAATAATTTTTGGTAGAGAGATTTGTTACCATATACGACTATAAAATACCATATAGCAGCGAATTTGGTTGAAAAACGCGATCAAGAACCCCAAAATACCGAAAATTGTGGATACCCTTATATGGGGGCTACCCGAAAAAGTGGACCTATATTTATAATTTTTAGCAGAGATATTTGGTACCCAATAAGAACCCAATGTAACAAATTTCAGCGAATTCGGTTGAAAAACGCGCTTGAGAACCCCAAAATACCGAAAATTGGGGGGTACCCTTATATGGGAGCTACCCGAAAAAATCGATCTATATTCATAATTTTTTGTGGAGAGATTTGGAACCTATTAAGAACTCAAAATACTAAATTACAGCTAATTCGGTGAAAAAATACGACCAAAACCCCCAAAATACTGAAAATTTCGACGTACCGTTATATGGGGGCTAACAGAAAAAGTGGACCTATATTTATAATTTTTAGCAGAGATATTTGGTACCCAATAAGAACCCAGGGAGATTTGTTACCATATACCATATTGTAGCGAATTCGGTTGAAAAACGCACTCAAGAACCTCAAAATACCGAAAATTGTGGAGAGATTTGGAACCTATTAAGAACTCAAAATACTAAATTACAGCCAATTCGGTGGAGCTGAAAATTATGCCGTTATAAACGTGGAACGTATATTTATAATTTTTAGCAGAGATATATTTCCCAATGTAACAAATTTTCGAACATGAAAAATGCTGCGAACTTGACAAAAGACAACCCTGCGAACTTGACAAAATTTCAGCACCCTACCTCAATTCCTTCAGAAGATAGCGTGATTACAACAGACGGACGGACGGACATGGGTAGATCGTTTTAGAATTTTACCCTGATCAAGAATATATATACTTTATAGGTTCGGAAATTAATATTTCGATGTGTTACAAACGGAATGACAAAATTAATATACCCTCCATACTATGGTGGAGGGTATAAAAAGATTTCCAGGCGCGTCGGTCTTATGCGCAGTTTTGCCAATTTGAAAGACCATTTTCGGCAATGTTGTCTTCCACTTGGTCTTTCCATCTAATTCGTGGCCATTCCCATCTGCGTGAACCATCAGCTGGTTCGCTTTTATATGCCTTCTGGGCTGGGGCATCTTCATCCATTCTCACAACATGACCTAGCTAACGTAGTCCCTGCAGCTCAATACGTCTAAGAATGTCGATGTCCGAGAATAGCTGGTACAACTCATGGTTCATTCGACGGCGATATTCACCGTCAATGCAGATCGGTCCATAGATCTTTCGGAGAAATTTTCTCTCAAACACTCCAAGAGCGGCCTCATCTGCTTGCGCAAGCACCCATGCTTCAGATCCATATAACAGCACGGGTAGTATCAGCGTCTTGTAGAGTGTGAGTTTGGTCTGGCGGGGCGTGGCCTTGCTTCTGAGTTTGTTCAGACCATAGTAGCATCAGTTGGCCATCACTATCATTCTCCGAGTTACAAAACTGATGTCATTCGTTTTGTTTATGGCGGTACCAAGGTATATAAAATCGTTGACTACCTCGAAGCTGTAGTTCTCAAGTTCGACATTTGGTCCGAGTCTACTGGACGTCTTGCGCGTTGATACCATCAGCTTGGCCTTCTCGCCGTGTTGCTGCCAGACTCACTTTGGCAGACTCCTTCTCAATTTGTTCAAAGGTGGCTATTACCGCTCTCAGTGTTCGACCCATTATATCGATGTCATCGGCGTAGGCGAGTAACATGTGTTGTTTGGTGTTCAGAGTGCCATTTCTGTTTACTTTTGCCTCTCGTATCACCTTTTCCAGTAGGATATTAAAAAGGTCACACGACAAACTGTCACCCTGTCTGAATCTTCGTTCGGTATTGAAGGGCTCCGATAGGTCCTTTCCGACTTTAACAGCTGATCTTGTGCCAGTTAAAGTTATCCTGCATAGCCGTATTAATTTCGCAGGAATGCCAAACGCAGACATGGCTTTACACAACTCTGAACGGATAGGGCTGTCGAATGCGGATTTATAGTCAACGAATAGGTGGAATGTGTCTATGTTTTTTTCGTGAGTTTTTTTCCAGGATTTGGCGTAGATTAAAAATCTGGTCAATGGTGGATTTGCCAGGTCTGAAGCCGCATTGGTATGGTCCAATAATGTCATTGACCATTGGCTTCAGTCGTTCACACAGCACACTGGGTAACACCTTATATGCGATGGGAAGGAGACTTATTCCTCTATAGTTGGCACATATCGTCTTGTCTCCTTTTTTTTGTGCACGGGACACAGGATGCAGAGGTTCCAATCATTGGACAGGCATTCTTCTAGCCAAATTGTACAAATCAGCTGGTGCATGCTCCTTACCAGCATCTGACCACCAGTCTTGAATAGTTCGGCTTGTAACCCATCGGCACCTGCTGCTTTATTATTCTTCAGCCGATTGATTGCTATTCTGACTTCATCTTGGCTAGGTGGTATACACTCTATACCGCGATTTATTATTGGTTCAGGGGTATAATCTTCACCGCTACTATTTGATACCAGAAGTTTTTCAAAATGCTACTTCCAGATCCTCAGCACGCTGTCCGTATCTGTCACCAGGTTTCCTTCTTCATTTCTACAGGAAGATGTGCCTGCACCAAAGCCTTCGATTTGGTGTATTACCCGTTGGTAGAATTTTCGGACTTCGTTCTGACTCCTGTATATCTCGATTTGCTCATGCTCACGTTTTTCTTGTTCTTTCTTCTTTTTTCTGAAAACACGTTTCTCCTCTATCCTTTTCTCCCGATAGTTCTCCATCGCATTACGTGTTGCTACTGTCCGCTGGGTTGCCCTATACGCTGCGTTTTTCATATCAGTAGCATTGCGACACTCCTGATCGTACCACGTATTTATTGATGGAGGTCTTTGGTATCCAGGACCATCAGGCGTATATAAAAAAAGATATTTTTTTGCAAAGACCATCAAGTTTAGATATTTGTAAATGACCTTGAAGCTTCAATATTTTAAAACATTTTTTTCTCAAGGGTCGATCAATACCTCCATAACATATGTTTTTATTGATGTTTACATTTCTCCATAATTTTTTTTATTTACTTATTTTTATTTATTATTATTTTTTATTATTTTCGTTTTCAGTTGGAATCCACATCATCAGATGGTCTACGCATTTTGAATATCAATAATGTTACCTTGGCCCACAGCGGTGAAGTTCAATTGGTCGTAACACATCCCGGTAAACCGTATTCGAGTCAAAAGGCATATACCACTTTAGCGGTGATACCGAGCAACAACAACAAAACACCCGCAGCAAATACAACGAAACAACACAACGACATCATTGTTGTTGACAAAAGGTCATCGCAATTGTTTGCTCTTGAACCCATTGATGATCAACAACAAGAGGAGCGGGAACAACAACAACAGCAGCAAGACCAAGAGTGTGAGGTCTCCTCCAATGAGCATCTTCATGATCATCCCCAACAACATCATCGTCAACTCCAACAGCCAGCCTGTATTTTAGAAGGTCCACAAGACTGCACCGCCCTAATTGGTGGATGTGTCCGCTTGTCCGTGATCTATGAAGGATTGCCCAAACCACAAATTGTTTGGTATAAGGCGGTAAGTAAAAAATGACAACAACACCTTATGGAATTATGGAATTTTCAATTTCTATTTTTAAAATGTAATTATTATTTATTATTATTGTTGTTATTGTTGTGAGGTAATAAGTTTCCTATCTCGATATCTATCTTTGGTTAGGAACATCTGATTTTATGGTCATTGCCATTTTCTGTTTTCCTCCAGAGCTAGCCAATGACGTCAAAGTAAAAAACGCAGCTCATTAATATGTATCTGTTTTTTTGTTGTTGTTGTAATTAGCCACATGTCATACGAGATACCGATACTGAAAGGTGGTTGTTTTAACCATTTTTGGCAAAGTTTTTTTTTTCCAGCGGATAAGTAAAACATCTTGATAGGGTATTTCATACTTGGCCATTGTTTTAGATTATTTATATCTTGGTCCAGGCCTACACACGGAATGTTAGCTGGTGTTAATCTGTGGTGTTAACCTATCTGTCTGCCTAATTTGCGATCTTTTGTATCTCCCCAAAAGATAATGGGTGTTATTGACAATAGAGGCGGAAAACAAACAAAAAAAAAAATACCTTTGCAGTAACCGTGCCTGTGGGGTCATAAATCGTAACTTTTGTTTCAATTTTTTTTTTTCGTATTTGCAAAAACACTTGAAGTTTTTAAATAGTACATCACGACTTTGCAAATGAAGGTTAACTACGAAACAAAAAATAATTGAAGACATTTTTCACAGTCCATCAATCGTAGATTTTGTAAATAAAAATATTTTCTGAACGAACAAACTTGAGTTAATTGTTATAATATTAGTTTTCAAATTACTACCAGTCGTAGAATTTTAAAAAATCCTACTATGTCGTAGACTTTTTAAAAAAATATATTTTTCAAAGTTACCTGGCGGTAACTACTACTTTCCTAAGATCCGGCGAGTTGTGAATATCTGGTCTATGGTGGATTTCCCAAGTCCAATAATGCCATTATTGAGAATTTCCAGGTCTTCTTATCTTAGAAAAGAAACACACAGATTTTTATTAATATTAACAGCAAGACAATTCCATAGAGACTAACATTCTAAATATTTATAACGACAAACAATACCAAAATATGTATAAGGCAAGGACTACTACGTTACAATAAATTATTCCAATATACAAGGCTACTATGTTACTTTTACAATTGTGTTGCATATTTTCAACACTCCTCAACACAATTTTACTTTCATAAACAATATCTATTTTTCTATATATTACTTCAAATATATGTAGGCTTTTTCAGAAAACTTTGAACACTTTGAATGTCGTTGTTTTTCACCATAGGTCCCTTTTGAGGGAACTCCAATTCAGACATCTTTTGAAAATACGCATCTTCTTTTGTTACCGATACTTAGCACTTAGTATGCTAAGTATCGCCTTTCATTTCAGAATCATATTCTACCTTCATAAATGCCTGTTTCTCATTTTCTGATGTTTCAACACCACATGTTCTTACTGCATTTTCTTCATTGTACAGCTTTCGTGGTCTTCCTTTGCCTCCATCACGTACAATTCGAGGTCTTCCTGGCCTTTTTCTTAACGATTTCACTATTATTTGCATGTTGAACATTTTCTGCTGGTTCACATTGTCCCGGGATATCTTCTAATTCATTTGCCTGAGTTTCTCCAGCAACCATATTTTCTTCTCCTCCTTAAGAATAATTTACTGGCTCAAGTTCGCTCGTTTCAACATCTTGATTTGACACTTCATTTCTCAATTCTTGATAATCTTGAGGAAAGGGTTTCACACAGATCTTGGCTTTTTGCACACGTTATCGGGTCACTCATTTCCTTTATATTATTTCCACGTACCGTTTTCTTCTTTATAATTTCCTCCAAGCAGCTAAAATTAACATGGCCATATCGATTATGCCATTTATTGCCTCCCCGTTAGCTCTTGAAGTATTATAACGCTTATTTTGTGTTCTCCGTGTGCCGCGGTTATTATACACTTGCGCTGGTCATCCCAAATCTTTACTGAATTCATCTCAAAAATTATTCTTGCGCCATTGTATGTCGCTTTAGTCACCAATATAAAATTATGAGGAATGGACGTAACGTGCAGGAGGAATCAGTTTATGCATACTTCTAAACAGCCTTTAATAGTTCTGCTGGTAACCCAACGTCACCTGTTGCTTTATTATTCTTCAGCCAATTGAATGTTATTCTAATCACATATGGACTAGGTGGTCCAGTGGTATTTTATTGATTCTGGAGAATTTGCATTGCCGCCACACGCTAACTAACTTGTACTTTGCAATAACTGATCAATATGCAAACCGTGCCTTTGGAATGTTTAGGTTAGGTTTTTGCTTGGCATAAAAAGATGACACCGCTTGACAATTGATTGGTTGATATTTATAACGGTTGATAGTTGTCGGAATTGTACTTTGATTCCAATAATTGCATGAGAAAAAATTCGTATAATTTAATTTAATTATTTGTTACAATTCTATCGTTTGTACGCCCATCGACTTCAAATGATGAGCGGGCCCAGATTTGCTTTCACGCGGATGCCAAAAAATGCCCTCCTTGTATAGATAGGGTTTTATATAACGCCGCTATTCCCCATCGACGCAGTTCAATTTATAGATCTTGTTTCTACACTGACTTCTTATCTACAGACTGATATCAAAATTAGACTATATCACAATTGTAGTTTTCAAGTTCCACAGTTGATCTGAATGTTTAAAGTTGAGATGTCTACGCCAACTATGGGAAAAAATGTTCGTAGGATCCTCTGAGAATGAATTTTGTCAAGATTACCACGATTCATTCCTGTTACTTCTCTTGAAAGCATAGAGCTTCCACAAAGAGCATCATACGTCATCTTAATCCAATCGTTGCCTTAGGATAATTTCGTAATATATATTTATATATATATATATATATATATATATATAAATTGTTAACTCCTTGACCGCATTCACTACCATGGCGCCTTCTTTTTTTCAACATCATTCTTTCTTCGTTACATTTGAATCTTATGATCATCTAACTGATGGTCGGTAATCTATTGCATGGTTTCATTTTCACAATGATGATGTCAATCTAAACAAATCTACTATAGCTCGGCCAAACTGACGGATGTGACCGACTCGGTCACTTACTAATTATACTACTTACATTCTACTATATACAATATAATACAATTAAATATTGGTAAGAGCAGCCCTAGGTACCCCTACCTGAGTCTACAGATTTCCAAGGCCATATATTGCAGGCTTCAATTACTCCATCGTAAGATATTTGTGTGATCTGTCAGTTTTCAATATCTTTTATCACATATCGGTCGTTCCGAAGTACTTTACTCACTTCATAAGGACCTCAATATTTCGGCACTAACTTTTTATTGGTCCATATCGTAGTATCCACATTCCGCATGACTACAGAGTCACCTGATTTAAATGTGTTTACTACGCCTTAGACCGTTGCTCACTATATGCCTGCGACCTCGTTCGAAAGTACTTTACTCACTACATAAGGACCTCTATATTTCGGCACTTTCTTTTTATTGGTCCATATCGTAGTATCCACACTACAAAGTCACCTGCTTTAAATGTATTAACTACGCCTGCGACCTTGCAATTGCAGCCTCTGCCTTGTCTCGTATGTCCTGAATACCTTCTGGTAATGCTGCCCTAAAAACAACGCCTCCCTGAATTTGCGTGTAGTGGTTGGTATCCTTGCAATTTTTCTCTGGGTGGCGCCATCTCCCGTCATTTCTATTTGGTATTATTCTCATGAGTTGATACAGAGTTTGGTTATTAGATAGACAGGGAACTTCGGAATTTCCCCTCTGGATATTGAAAATGTTGGCCAAAAATAGATTTGTTCGAGGCAAAAAAGAAGTCTATATTAGCCAGAGTACAAATGGTCATAGGGTCCTTGTTTTTGTCTAGATCGTGGCTGCTACAATATTCCGAAGATTTTTTCCCCTTTTAGTCCAGCTAAATAGATTATTGGTTTGCTGTATAATGCACTAGGTGGTGGACCTGTCATCTGCCGTTGCCTAGAAAAAACATATTCATGCATTTGTATTGCAATGGTAGTAATCCTTGCTTATTTAGTGTTATTTTCCTCTAGGTGGCGCTATCTACTGCCACTTATATTTTGTTTTATGTCGATTCCAAGTTGGTTTTTAAAATGCCAGGAGTATTTCGATGCATTTTGTGCGCAATGGGATATACGACTCTTTTTATAATTATGTATTTGAAAAATATATGAATATTTTCTTCCCATCGGTTTGTAGTCTGAAACACGATCAACTGCCCTAACCAACCTCCCTTCTTCCGATTCCCAACTCTTATTCCGACGAATTGACAGTAGTGAAAATATAGCCTGTCGTAGGTGGTGAGGCTGCCATCTATCGTTACATAGAAACAATGATTCATTGAATGTTCGTGCAGTGGTTGATGTCCTTTCTTATTTTTTGTTGCAATGTTCCTAATGTGCTGATGCCGAGGTTGGTTTTTAGAATGTCAATGGGGCTTCGGAATTTTCCCTTTCTTCTAGCTATGGAAAATGTTAGCCAAAAGTAAATTTGCTGAGACCATTTGTCTGTCCCCTGTGGCGGGCCTGCCATATATCGTTGCCTAGCACCAAAGCCTTCTTGAATTTGTGTGTGCAATGGTTGTAGTCCTAGCTCGTTTAGTATTGTCATTTTTCTCTGGGTGGAGCTATCTCCTGCCATCACTGTTTAGTGATGCAATTGACTTAAAGGTAAAGGACGCTTTTACCCAGTGGGTTTAGCGTCTAGCGTTTAGAAATAATGGAAAACTACAAATTATTGTTCTTATGTTGGGATTCGAACACAGGACTCATCGCGTTGTAGTCTGATACTGTGCAAACGAATTAACCGTTTGAAAATATTCCAAAAGACAAACTGCCATAGTTGGTGAGGCTGCCATCTATCGTTACCTAGAAACAACTCTTCATTGAATGTTTGTTTCCTTAGTGTTGCCATTTTCCTCTTGGAGGCGCTATCTCCTGTGATTTCTATTTTGAGTTTTCCTCAAGTGCTGAGGTTGGTTATTACAATGTCAGGTGGCTTCAAATGTCTTCCATTTGGTGGGTATACAAACATTTTTGTACGGATATTAGAAAACCACTTTGAAAGACTTTTTTCTTCCACAATTCCGAAGAATAACAGTTTTAAATATTTTCCCAAGGTTTTTGACCAGAATATCTAGACCAGTTTTTTTTTTCTCCGAAAATATTTCGTGCTACAGTTCGAACGGCACTCCCCAATAGAATGTTTGCCAATAGTAAAAAACACAAAAGAAGAAACCCATCAATTAAAATGCAATTTTTAAAATTTAGGTCTAAAGAAACCGTTTAGAAAGCAATTAATATTCAGCGGAATCGGTTGGACTAGAATGCATGCTAGGCAAGTGGTGGTTTTGGCGTTAAATTTTATTGTTGTCAGCAACAAACAGCAAGCAATTATTGTAAACGTTTTTTGTTGATGTGTCCTATAATGTATGCGTGTTCGGCTAGAGACTATTCAAACATATATAAAGACAGGCATAGCCATAGGCCTCATCTCCGAACCTCATCTCCCCGTGTTCCAAACTAGATAACAAATATATTTCATTATTATTAGTATTCACATTAGCCAGCCAGTCAGAATAACCATTGGATCTGAACATCGTGTCACGATCAGAGGTTGCGGTAAGGCAACGTAATAGCATTTCGATGATGTTGTTGCAAACCGCAAAAACAATAACGACACACATTTTTTCGAAAGAAACAAAAAAAAACAACAACTCAAAACACACAATGTATTTTTTTTATTTTTCAAACTAAAAATAATAAAAGACAATTTGCTAAACCATAATTTATAAATAATTTAACCTAATTTGTCTATTTTTTATTTTTATTTTGGTTTTTTTTATATTTTTTCAGAGCCGCCGCATTGTGGAAACATCAAATACAATTATCAACACCTCATCCCGCAAATCGATATTACAGATTTCCGATATCGACACCGATGACAGTGGCAAATATTCGGTAGAAGTTATGAATGAATTTGGTGCCGATATAGCCTCGGCCTCAGTGGCCGTTGAGGGTCCGCCGGAGCCACCCAGTGGCAAGCCGAGCATTTCACAGGGTCCGGATCGTGTGGCGATTGCATGGTGTGGTCCACCATATGATGGTGGTTGTATGATAACTGGATTTATGTAAGTGTATAGTGAAGGGTATTTGTCATATACAAATAAAAAAAAATCAACGATGTTTATAAAGTAGCGCCCAATAGGCGCAAAATTTTTAAATAACCAATTCCATGATCAAATTAAATTTCGACGGTTATCGAATGATCATCGAACATATTTTCAATATGACCAAACATTTCTTGTACAAAATCTTGTAAAGTGGCGCCCAACGGTAGGTAGAGCCATTATTAGAAGTAAATTGGGGGTACGAATATAATTGAATATCCAAAAATTTTCTTACATTGAATTTTGTCAAGTACTGGCCCACAGAAGATAAATCTCTAATATTTCGGATAAAGTGGTGCCCAACGGTAGTCAGGTCGATTATTAGCAAGGAATAATATATTTGAATATCCAAAAATGTTCTTACATTGAATTTTGTAATGGGCTGACCAATATTTCAGATAAAGTGGCGCCCAATGGTAGGCACAGACATAACTGATATCATCCATTATCAGTTGGTGGATATCGGATGATCATCGATATACAATTTTTCAATGTGACCACACGTTTCTTGTATAGAATTTTGTAAATTGGCGCCCAACTGTAGACAGAGCCATTATTAATAAGGAATGGGGGGGTACGAATATAATTGAATATCCAAAAATTTTCTTACATTGAATTTTGTCAAGTACTGGCCCACAGAAGATGAGGATCAGATAATAAAAGATTCTTAAATCTCTAATATTTCGGATAAAGTGGTGCCCAACGGTAGTCAGATCCATTATTAGTAAGGAATAATATATTTGAATATCCAAAAATTTTCTTACATTGAATTTTGTAATGGGCTGACCAACAGAAGATGAGGATCAGATAAGTAAATTATTGTAAAATCTCTAATATTTCGGATAAAGTGGCGCCCAATGTTAGGCACAGACATTACTGATATCATCCATTATCAGTCGGTGGAGAACGGATGATCATTGAACAATTTTTGAATATGACCAAAAGTTTCTTTATAGGATCTTGTAAAGTGGCGCCCAACGGTAGGTAGAGACATTACTGATAAGGAATTTGGGGGGTACGAATACAATTGGGTATATAAACATTTTTTTACATTGAATTTTGTAATGGACTGACCAACAGAAGATGAAGATCAGATAAGTAAAAGATTCGGAATGCTCTTAATACTATTTTTGGATAAAGTGGCGCCCAATGATAGGTACAGACATAACTGATATCATCTGTTATTAGTACGAAAATAATTTCAAAATGAAAACATTAAATTAGGTAATGTGGCACAAGAGTTGAAGATCGACTGGTTCGAACGGAGGTTTGGGAGTTTTTGGACTAGGGCTACGGCTTCGTTAAGCATTTTGGTTTTTAGTCCACACCGCAGACCTGTGCGGTGATGGAGCAAACATCTAATGCTGCCTAGAAACATTCTCTTTTTGGATTTGAGTACATTTTTGTTTGCCATTTTCCTTAAAGGGCGCCTGTCATCTGTCTGTTGTGTTAACCCCACGTGTAGATGGCAGGTTGATTATTAGAATATCAGGGACCTTAAATGTCTTTCATATAGAGCGGATACAAGCCTTTTTTACGAATATTCGAAAAATGACCAGAAATACTTTTTCAATTTCGACAAATTAATATTTCTGGTAAAGTGGCGCCCAACGGTAGGCACAGACATTACTAATAAGAGATGAGCACTAAAATAATTTCAATATGAAAATATTGAATTTTCTAATGCGGTAAGGTAGATGAAGATCAGCTAGGCCGAACTCAGTTTGGAAAATTAGGCTAGTACCTTGAACATACCTATCTAGGAACATAAGCTTATATTGAAAATGCTCGGTGAAGAGGTTATAATTTCAATATGAGAACATCGAATAAATAATGAATATATATTGAATGTTTTAGTATTTCTTGTAAAGTGGCGCCCAACGGTGGGCACACGTAATACTGCATAGAAGTGGCGCTTAGCGGATAAATAACCAAAATACCCTGAATGGTATAATGTTTCTTGGAAAGTGGCGCCCAACGGGCATTACTGATAACGGATAAGGTTTAATTGAGATAGGAAAATTAGGCAAGACGCATAATCATTGTTTGGGGGCTATATAGAAACTTGACCTTATATTGAAAATGTTCTGTGAGGAAACCTTAATATTTAGTGTAATGTGGACTTGTGCTAAAAATGTTCTGTGACGAAGTTATTTACCCAAAAAGTTGGTAAAAGGTCCCTGAAATAACTTCGTAAGACAAAAATAAAGGTACCCATATTCTTCACTAGGAATATCGATCGATATTTATAGTTTTTTGCTAAGATTTACCTCAATAATCGAAGTTTTATGTGTGGTTGTAGGGACTTGAACCATTTGGCTTCCCAATGCTTTCTCAGCAAATTATTCCTCAGTTCCTGTTTATTAAACACAAGCTCCAAATGGCGCCCGACAGTAGCCAAACATTTTTTCATATCAGATAAGCAACTACAATTTTTCTCAAAACTAACAAAATGTGTTGTGGTATCGAATCATGAAATGTGGCGCCCAAATGGCGCCCAACAATAATCCAATTTTTTTCATAGCAGATGAGCAACTAAAATTTGTCTCCAAACTAGGCAAATGTGTTGTAGTATCGAATCGTGAAATGGGGCGCCCAACAGTTTTTTTTATATTGTTTCCATTTAAAGTCCTTTATTCTACTAATAAAAAAATCCCCCTAACTTTCTTACAGCATTGAACGACAACAATTGGATCCGAATGCCCCATCCCTTGAAGAACAAGAAAACGATGCCGATTGGCTGGAAATTGCCAGTGTTGTGGATTCATTGGCCTATACCGTGAAAAATTTAAAACCACTCTTTACCTATCGGTTTCGTGTAAGAGCGGAAAATATACATGGACGCAGTGAGCCAGGCTTACCCAGCGATCCAGTACATATTGCGGATGAAACTGAAGAAGATTCCACAGAAGGTAAGCTACCAGAACATCTCTTTTGAGAAAATAATACGAATAAAAAATGTATCTTTTCTTCAGACTTCCAAAGGCCAATATCCATTAAATCTGGCGGTGATTTCAAGGATCGTTTTCAAATTCTCGAAGAATTGGGCAAGGGTCGTTTCGGTGTTGTCTACAAAGTCCAGGAGAAGGAGGATCCCAAACGTATTTTGGCTGCTAAAATGATTAAATGTATTAAATCGAAGGATCGTGTTAAAGTCCAGGAAGAGATTTCGATAATGAAATCGTTGAAACATCCCAAACTGCTGCAATTGGCTGCATCGTTCGAGAGTCCGCGTGAAATTGTAATGGTCATGGAATAGTAAGTATTGGAGGCTTGAATTTGATTTTTAATTTACTTAATCGGAAATGGTATGGGACTATTCTTCAAAATGAACGATCGGTACTAGTTACAGTAGTAAACTAAATGGATGACATAGTTTAGAAGGGGTCTGGAAATCTACCTAAATCAGTAGGGGATACTGACTATCTCCAACTCTTCATTCGTCGCTGAATCACTTCCCTAATTTCGAAATTTATTTGTTTTCCCTCTCACTTCTTCATCTTACAGCATTACTGGCGGCGAATTATTCGAACGTGTGGTGGCCGATGATTTTACCCTCACCGAACGTGATTGCATATTGTTTGTGCGCCAGGTTTGCGAAGGAGTTGCCTATATGCACAGCCAATCGATTGTGCATTTAGATTTGAAACCCGAAAATATTATGTGTAAGACAAGGACATGCCACCAAATTAAAATTATTGATTTCGGTTTGGCTCAGCGTCTGAATACCGGCTCGCCTGTGCGAGTTCTTTTCGGTACACCGGAATTTATATCACCTGAAATTATTAGCTATGAACCGATTGGTTTTCAATCGGATATGTGGAGTGTGGGTGTAATATGTTATGTGCTGTAAGTAGGACATCGCTGATACGATTTGAGAGATATATATTTTAACTATTTGCATTTCAGTTTATCTGGCCTGTCACCCTTCATGGGTGATACAGATGTCGAGACCTTTTCCAATATTACCCGAGCCGAATATGATTTCGATGATGAGGCCTTTGATTGTGTTTCCCAACTGGCCAAGGATTTCATATCGAATTTGCTGATACATCGCAAAGAAGATCGTTGGACAGCGGAGCAATGCCTAGAATCGCCGTGGTTGAAACAGGGTCATTATGATGAAAATCTGGGCAATAAGAAAATCTGCACCGATAAGCTTAAGAAGTTTATTATACGCCGCAAATGGCAAGTAAGTATTGGAGGAATTTTTTGTTACCAATTGCTAACCTACTCGGCATGAATCCGTTATTGTTGTTGTAATGTTTGCCAGTTTCAATGGCTTAGTCATTTAAATTGTTAACATGTGTTTTGTTTTGCTATCTGTTTTTGTTTGCTTATGTTTTTTTTTTCGTTTGCTTTGGCTAATTTTTACTCGCAATGACTTAGAAAACTGGTAATGCTATCAGAGCTTTAGGTCGCATGGCTACCTTATCAGCTTCTAGACGCAATTCCGCTGTCTCAACCACCACGACTGCAGCTGGTGGTAGCAGCCCCAACAGTCCACGACCTTCGATTTCGGGTATGTCGTCCATGTTCAGCGCGAACCAAACGCTGCAATCGGCACCCATGGGATCGTTGCACGAAGAAGATGATGATTTTAGTATTGAATTGCCCGCTGTTGTCCATCAAGATATACCGCGACGCAGTCCAAAGGTGGTAACCAAATCTCAGTGTAGTGAACGCAGTGATTCAGGTTACAGTGAATGTTCCAACTGCAGTGCCTCGGGTTCGCTGCAGTGTCAATGTGCCAATAATAGGGACAGTGTGGATCATGCCAATGCCAGTGATTTATTACAAGATCTCTCCATTTCCGTACCCCATGATTTGTTGAAATTGAAACTCGAAGAAATTGCCCATCAGGCGGATCACAATATTGAGGAGGTCAAACTGGAATTGGTGGTACCAACAATCAGCCAGAAACAAATTGCCCAACTCGATGCCAATCAAAATGAATTGAAGCCGTTGATGGAAATACCCGAGAAAGATCCGCCACACACCATTACCGTCATCGAAGATGTTGAAGTACTTAACACCTCTCCCTCTGGTCCGATTATTATGCGTTCCGATTTTACTAATACCATACAAATGCGTAAAAAATCCCTTGAGAATAGTTTACTTAAAGAGAAGCCCAAAGTCACCAGTAAATCACCGCTCTATGAAAAATCCGGTAAGGTTAATATGTTGCGCAATAAATTCTCCTGTATGGAACAGCAAGTGAGTAGTGGCGCCCAACATCAGACAACAGCTGTTAAAAGTAAAGATTGCATGGATGTTTTAAAGCTAAAGCGTAAAGTTATAAATGAAGCTTGTCTTAAGCAAAGTAATTTGTCTTTCTCTCCTCAATCTTTTTCACAAATTAATTAAATATTCTGTCATTCTTTTCTTAGCAAACTCAGCCAGCCATCCAACATCCTCAGCCTCCTCAACACACTCAACTTCATTGCCCAGCTCACCAATACCAGCACGCAAGACGACGTATCCGTTTACTACGTTCCGGCTAAGCGAACGTGTACGCGAGGTAACCGATCGTCTGGCCCAACAACAAACCGTCTGCACCGAGGCTAGACGAACACAAATCTTAAATCGAAATAAATAATGAAAAAATAACACCCTGAAAGTATCGATAATAATGTATTTTTCTCATCATCTTTTTTTTACCAGTTTTTAATCATTTTTTGTTTTGTTTTTTTATTTAAATAATCTTTACATTGTAGTTTTTTAAATTAAGTGCAAGTGCAAAAAAAAACAATAATTAAAAATTATTTTAATAAGTATTTTTGTTGCAAAAAAAAAAAACAATTGGCATCGTTATAATTCTAGTTATTTTGTTTTTTTTTTAATTTTATTTTAATATTTTATGATTATTCTTAATATTAAATATTTAAAATTAAATGTCGTGTTACACGCCCCCAAAACATTTATCTCTACACCTCTCCCCCACTTTGAAAAAAAAAACATAAAACCATGTGAATGAAAATCATCATGAAAAATAAAACTCGAATATAATTTATGAAAATCTTATATACTAAATCAAAAAAAATGTTCAATGTGTTTCATTTTTTGAAAAAAAAATAATTTAATAATATTCGTCTTAGAAATTAGAGTTGGAACGGAACGAACTAGTTCACAGGAACGATGATACAAATAAAAACGATCGGTACTAGTTCCATTTATTTTGTTTAACTAGTTATTTTTGCTTCAGTAGTAGTTCGATTATTTGGATATGTATTTCAATTAATTTAGATATTCTAGTTCAATGAACCATGGAACCGAAGCAACTGATTGTCGGAATATTAATGATGGAAAACTGAGCCCCTAGAAAAAAATGTGAAAAATCCAGGCCTATTGAGGCCCTTGTAAACAGAATGTTTAAAAAATCCAGGCCTATTGAGGCCCTTGTAAACAGAATGTTTAAAAAATCCACGCCTACTGAGGTCCTTTAAAATAAAATGTTTAATAAAATCCACGCCTAGTAAGGCCCTTGAAAACAAAATCTGAAAGAAATACATGCCTTTTGAAGCCCCTGAAAAATAATTTTTTAAAAAATCTAAGGCATGAAAGGTCCTTCAAAAATTATTTTTAAAAAAATTACGCCTATTGAGCCTCTTGAAAACATAATGCTTAAAAAATTCACGCCTATTGAGGTCAAGTAGTAGTTCAGTAGTAGTTCGTCTATTTGGATATGTATTTCAATTAATTTAGATATTCTAGTTCAATGAACTATGGAACTGAAGCAACTGATTGTCGGAATATTAATGATGGAAAACTGAGCCCCTTGAAAAAAATGTAAAAAATCCAGGCCTATTGAGGCCCTTGTAAACAGAATGTTTAAAAAATCCAGGCCTATTGAGGCCCTTGTAAACAGAATGTTTAAAAAATCCAGGCCTATTGAGGCCCTTGTAAACAGAATGTTTAAAAAATCCACGCCTACTGAGGTCCTTTAAAATAAAATGTTTAATAAAATCCACTCCTATTAAGGCCCTTGAAAACAAAATCTGAAAGAAATACATGCCTTTTGAAGCCCCTGAAAAATAATTTTTAAAAAATCTAAGGCATGAAAAGTCCTTCAAAAATAATTTTTAAAAAAATTACGCCTATTGAGCCTCTTGAAAACATAATGCTTAAAAAATTCACGCCTATTGAGGTCAAGGGCCTCAATAGGCGTGAACTTTTTAAGCAATTTGAAAGAAATCCAGGCCTATTGAGGTCCATGAAAAATAAATTTAAAAAAATCCACGCCTATAAATATTTTTTCGGGGTAATTTTCCTGTAATCAATATCGGTGCACATTAGATATCATTGTTTTCTTTTAATTAAAGCTAGCATTCAAAAAAACTGCTAATTATTTAATACTAGCAAACAGATCCAAATTGTACTATGTTTAGTACCACTTAGTACTTTTTGTACTTATGAGTTCGAATTTCCAACACTGTTTCAATCCTGTGCTATAACGGTAATTTTATTTTCAGATATATGTTTTCCATCTCCATACTTTCACTCAAATCTAAATTGTGCTAAACTTAATACCATTTAGTACACATATTTCAATCTACAACATCAATATTAATTCCAAATTTCAGATTTTCAAAATCCAAATTGTACTAAATTTAGTACCATTTAGCAATTTTCGCACCAATAAGTAAGAATTTCGTAAACTACCTCAATCCTACACTCCAACAGCCATTTTCATTCCCAATTTAAAGACATAAGCTCTATCTGTTCATCTAAATCCAACTTGCACCAAATTTAGTACCATTTAGTACTTTTCGTACACATAATAACGATTTTTAAAGCTGCCTTAATCCTGTACTCCAATAGTAGTTCTAATTCCGATTTTCAGGCTTCCATCTCATTTAAACGCAAATAGTACTAAACTTAGTACCATTTTGTATTTTTATATAAATGTGTACTAATTTCAGAAACCATTTCAATACATCAACACCACTTCCCAACCTTTACTCCATATAAAATTTCTAGATTCTTGTTCTATATGTTCAATATATATACAATTAGAACTAAATTTAGTAAAGTTTAGTACTTTTCGTACACTTTTAGGCCGAATTTCCAAATACCCTTTTGTACATCTTTCTAACATTCTATCCAAATTTCAGAATTCTAGCTACATAGGGTGCCATATTTTGTACACTTTAGTACTTTTCGTACCCTTCCAGTTCGAATTTCCAAAAACCCAGCCTTATCTCACGCCTACACACCAACAACAACCCACACTCAAAATTTTAGCTTTAGTCGTTTTGTCTGGGCGATGATTTCTCAGTCATTCACTTAACACTAAGCTCTTTTATATATAGACTAGCATATACCCGCTACTTCGTTAGCGAATGTGGGATGTATTTAAAACCACCCTATATCGATCATTATTGAAATTTTAGAACCATTTAGTACCATAGTATGTTCTCAAATATATCTCTGTATCTCAACCCTACACACCCATTTCGACCGCAACAGAAATCTACCTCTATACTAAATTTGGTGTAATTTTTTACCATTTGTACTCTTGTTATACTTATTTTGAAAAAAAAATCACCCAAATCCAAATTGAGTATCAGTTAGTCCACATTAATATAAATTTCCATAACTACCTACTTTAGCAATCATAAGTACGAATTTCCAACACTTCCCACATACCACAATCTTAATTCCAAATTTGAGGATTCTATCGGTTCACTTAAATCCAATTTGTATCACATTTAGTACCACTTAGAACACATAAGTAAAAATTTCCATTACTACCTACATCATGCAATCAAATTGAAATCATGAATTAGATAAAATTAATTATAATCCAAATAGTATCAAATTTAGTACACAGTAGTACGAATTTCCAAAACTTCCTACTTAACCCAAACATACACTCCCACAGTGATCCTAAATCCATTTTTCAGGATTCAAACTCTATCAGTTCACTCACAATTCAAATTGTACTAAATATAGTACACAGTAGTACTAATTTCTAAAATATTCTACATACCCCAATCCTATCCCCCCCCCCCCCCCCACACACTGATCCTAAATCCAAGTTTCAGGATTTCAAATCAATCGGTTCACTCACTGTTAAAATTTTACCAAATTTAGTACACAGTAGTACCAATTTCCAAACCCTCCTACATACCCCAATCCTACACCTCCACAGTGATCCTAAATCAAAAATTCAGGATTCCAACTCTATCGCTTCACCCACAATTTAAATTGTACCAAATTTATTACACTTAGTACAAATTTCTAAAACATCCTACATACCCCAACCCTACACCTCAACAGTGATCCTTACTCCAAATTTCATGATTCTAGCTCTATTGATTCACCTAAAATTCAAATTGTACCAAATTTAGTACCATTTAGAACTCATAAGTATTAATTTCTTAAACTGAATCCTGGTCCCAATTCCACACCCCTACAGTGATTATGACGCCAAATTTCATTGTTCCCGCTCTATCGGTTCACCCAAATCCAAACTGTACCGATTATAGTACGATTTAGTATTTTTCGTACACATAAGTAACAAATTTCCAAAAACGCGTTCATATCCGAATCCTGCACTCCGACGGTAACGTTAATTTCAAATTTCAGGATTCCAGCTCGATTTTTATCTCCAAATTAAATTTGTACCAAATATAGTACCATGTAGTACTTTTCGTACACATGAGTACACGCTTTCAAAACCATCTTCTTAAATAGACCCTACATCTCAACCCTTATTCGCATTCCAAATTTCAAGTTTTTAGCTCTATCCATTCACATGCTACGAAATTGTACTAAATTTAGTACATTTTAGTACTTTTCGCATACTTATAGTTCGAATTTCCAAAAACCCTTTGGTACATCTATCCTACACTTCGACAGCGACCACCAATCAAAATTTTAAAGTTCTAACTGCACCGGTTCGCCAAATACAAATGGTATCACATTTAGTACTTTTGGTACCGTTCTAGTACGAATTTCCAAAAACCCAGTCTTATCTGTCAAATTTGGACCAAGAGTGACCCTCACCCAGTCAGTCAATCACTTTACTCTTTTATTAGTATAGATAAATATTTGAATTTTGTTTTTTAATAAATTTAAAATATTGACTCACCTTTTGTCTACTTCAGCATCTGCAATTTTTGCAATTTTTTGAAATATTTTTTCGTTAATTTTTATTTATAGATTATATTATTTTTTTAATTCACTTTTTTACACAAACACACAAAAGTTTGTCACATTTTCTTTCTCTACATTATTTACGTTTATCCGTTTCTTTTATTATTCATGACATTTCAACTCTTTCAAGCACTCACAAACTTCGGCATGCTTTTTATGCGTATTTTCTATGGCCGGCCAAACAACATAACACACTAAACACATTTTTTACTGACACACACACACAACCGACGGAAATCACAACGATTTTAAACATAGCCGACTACCATTTGCAATTTGTTGCATCCGTTCATGTCCGTTCCTGTTTCACACAAAACCCACAGAAATTTGCCAAATTTTCTATTCATTTATTTACTCATAAATACACTGAATTCGAATCGACTTTTCTTTAATTCAACATTGGCATTAACTGGTAAACACTTTTCAACAATTATAATA